CTATGAATACACATTTATGGTGACACAAAAGAAGTCAGCTTACATTAGGATCGATCTCATCGAAATTTTATAGCGTCGTCCAAGCGTAGATACTTTTGTGTTTTGTGTCGGATACAAGCAACCGGCAACTAGTCCATACTCATACAATGCATATGAAACTGCTGTTTCCAGTTCCTCCCATTGGAAAAGTGTCCGATGTAAGAAAGTAGAAACTGCAGCAGACATCGTTGATTAGCCTGTAAGTATGAACGGCAATGACGTTTGCATCGACATATAATTTTAGTAGCAGTAGAGCTCCTAGTAAAAGAGTTCATCCAGGGAAGCACTACCACCTTAACTATTTCTGCCGCCAAGCAGAAATGTGGACATTACTGCGTTCGGGTTTCAAAGGGTAAGGGTGCTGGTGAAATTACAGGCACATGGAACTTGTCATTATGTTTCAGGGTGTCGGGCACAGTGGTAGTGCCTCTCAGATCTTTGTAATTTAAGGATCTGAGTGACACTGCAACTGTTAGGGACAGACGTGACGCTTACCACCAGACACACGACTTGTTTGTCCCGTCACTTAGTATTATAAATAATAATGAGCACACCAAGCAAAGTAAGTATTTCTTCATCGACATCACCGACGGAACTCTCAGGAATTTAAGCTTGGAATGTTGCCTGTGTCCAACTGCGACTGTGTTCGATTGCTTTTACCAGACACAGATAACCACGCTGTCCTAGGATGGTGTTGGCAAAAGTGTCTATATTTGCACAGCGCCTTAGGGGTGATTGTACTCATCAATCCAAATCATCAATCAAAATAGGGGAATCGTTTGATTGTGAAAAAAATCAGCTGCTGAATCAGATGTCGTCGAAATTGCCAAAATATCAAAAGTCATTTTTAAAATTCCAGGTGAATCTATGAAAAACATACTTGGACTCTCCTATGAGCAAATACAGGCACGACAAAATACCACGGGAATACTGGAAGCCCTTAATCTCGATGAAGTAACAGCGAATGGCAACGTTAAGTACAATCTGACACCGCACAGAATAAACAGAGTGGTTAAAGGCGCGGAGACAATAGTAATATTGATCCATGGATTCTTGGAAAGTTCGGATGGTTCCATGGTAAGTAAAGGTAGATGAAGATATTATTTTCTTAGAATATTATTGGCCACACATCAAATTGATCTGATGATGATGATGACCTTGAAATTGACTGTGAAAGTCATTAGAAGTTTCGATATTTTTATGAACGTTTTTCACGATAAGAATAAAGGAAACAATATGGAGAGAAAACATTTGCTTGTAAAAGATCGCATGTATCTTTATTGGTGGTAAGTAATAATATTGTTAGAATGAGATTAATGTATACAATATACATAATTGACTGAATGAATTTAACTGAGATTGAAAGTACCTACGCAAAATGTATAACAATCCATTCATCAAAAAGGAATTCACTGAATATTTAATTGTAGGTAAGCGCTGTTGGGCCTACGCTATTGAAAAAGCCGAGATATAAAATCCTCGCATTAGACGGGAGCAAAGTGATCGGCATCGAGTACCTAAGATCATCTACATACGCCAGGTTTAGCGGCGAAAAGTTGGGATCCTTCTTGGCTGACATGATCAATGGTTAGTATCTACATAGCTTTACATCGTGTTTCAATGAATTAATAAAGAAATTCTCTGTTCTTAATTTCTTCCGGGACAACAACGTTTCAAAGAAAAGGTCAGCCATTTCAAATACCTATTGGACATTTTATTATAAGAAAGTAACAAACACCCGACAGTAATGACGATCAAACAGTTTAGGCGGACACTCAAACTGGGGTCCCTATATTAATCCCTGACTGACCTTGAGTTGTTCCCTCGAAAGATGTGTCGGTCGCTGTTGTTTATGCGTATGCCCAGGTGTTAAGGGGTAGTCGCGCCGCCCACTCTGGTCTCTCACAGACAGATGAGATGCTAAGATGATTTTCCGTAAAGCTGATTTTCCGTATTGCCGTTGGACAACTGCTACGGTGATATCGCGTCAAAAACGAACGTTCGCTAGCGCGGCGTAGTTGCAACAGGGCCCGTCAAAACGGGGAATATCCTACTCTCAAATCAGTGCATTTTTTAGGATAGGAATAGAGAGGAGGTGAGTAGATCATTTGTGCATTTGCGAAGATGCCTACGTATCAAATCTGACACTTACGTATCCTACTATAATGTAATAAGGAAACTGTGTTGGCAGGTTATTATAAACGTACTTCTCTCAATAATGGTTCCCTATATACAATATTGAACAAACAGCCACAGGCAGTTAATGCATACAGAGTTCCTGAGTAGCTAACACGCGACATGGTCATGTGGAGCGGTCAGTGCGAAAAGCAGCTTTTTTATAATAATTCTGTTAAGATACCAAGTGACGGGAGAAACAAGTCGTACACTTCGTGATAAGCGACATGTCTGTCCACAGCAGTTTTAAAGCTTCAAATCTCAAAGATCGGCACTGTCACTGCGCCTGTCACCCTTAGACATAAGTTGACAAGTCCCACGTGCCTGTAATTTATCTTACAAAACCGGAACGCAGTAATGCTCACATTACTGCCTGACGGCAAAAATAGCTAAAGTGGCAAGTACTTCCTTAGATGAACTCTCACATAAGGAGCTCTACTGCTACTAAAAGAACTACCCAGAACACCCCAACCAGAACCAATGTAGAAAAGTTCATTTCCCAAATAGATCCTACCGGGAATCGAAGCCGGAACCTTCACATCTAATACCCACAATGCAAACCGCTGGGCCACTATGGTCGTTAAATTTCATAAAAATATTTCGTCAGATTTTATAAAATTGGTTTCAGATGGTCAAGATCCTGCAAGTATAGTGTTGGTGGGCCACAGTCTAGGAAGTCACATAGCAGGAGTGGCTGGGAAGCAAGTGAAGCGGTTGACAGGCCGTCAGATTGGTCGCATAACCGCTCTTGATCCAGCGGGACCTTGTTTCGGCGGCAGTGTCGACGGAAGAATAGACCGAGGAGATGCTGACTACGTCGAAGTCATTCATACCAACGGCGGCGCTTTAGGCTTCAAAGAGCCCGTAGGTAAACGGATGCCTTTGGTTTTACTTTAGGTTTACAGTAGTTATTTCTGATTCAAGGTTGTTGTTTAACGCGAGTGCTTGTATTGAAAACCTGAGCAAGCAAAGGATTTCGAGATTGAATCACGAGCGAAGCGAATAGTTCAAAAATAGAATCTCAGCGAAAAACACGCAGTCTATCGTCAAGTTCGAATTTTAAAAACCTTAAACCTTAAAACGTTTTTGCGTCCAGATTTCTAATGAGAAAGAAAGCCTTTCCGAGCTAGTGAGGTGAAAATATAATCGTGAGCTATAGTGGGTGGGTATACATAGGGCGCACTATAAGCTTCCGGAACTGGCCACTTATATAAACAATATTTAAAAAGTAATTACAACAAATTTGAAAATTGAACTCTTGGGCTGTAGAATTGGGCTGTACAGTTTGTTTCATCTGACTGTCACTTGTTTTTACATTGTGGCGTCATTTTAGAAATTGGTAGTCTACATCACTATGGATTTAACTCGTGAAAATTTTCGTAGTATGATTGTCTACGACTTTAAGTGTAAATTAACAGCTCAGCGGAGCTTCGCTCGGCTTTAAACTGCTTTTGGCGATGAAGCACCATGCAAGACGACTATTTATAGCTGGTTCGCAGAATTCAAACGCGATCGTGTGAATCTGAGTGACGAATTTCGTGATGATCGCCCGTTCACTGCTGTGAACAACAAAAACATCGAAGCTGTGCGCCGTATGATCAAAACAGACAGGCATGTGACATACTATGAAATTTGGGCATCTTTAGGCATGAGTCAAATACAATCAATACTACACAAACATTTGGGTGTGAAAAAGCTGTGCTCTCGGTAGATCCCATACAATTTGACTAAGGCTCAAAAAACGGATCGCGTCACTTGGTGCAATGCCATGCTTACCAGATTCAACGAAGGGGCGTCAAATTTGGTGTGGGACATAGTGACAGATGACGAAACATGGATTTATAGTTACCATCCCAAAACAAGGCAGTAATCCATTCGTTTGCCGGAAGTTATTGACAAACTTCGTAAAAATAACCGTAAACGCCGTATTGTCTTGCACCACGATAATGCCAGTTCTCACACGACCAGACAGACAAAATGACTTTTTGAAGGTGAACAACGTTAACCTTATGAGCCATCCCGCATACAGTCCGGACCTGGCACTTTGTGACTTTTGTTTCCAAAAATTAAGAACCAGTTACGCGGTCAACGATTTTCATCACCTGAATAGGCTGTCGAAGAGTATAAAAAATATGTTTCAGAGAGATTGTCACGGAGGAGTGGCATAAATGTTTTCAAAATTGGTTCATTCGTATGAAAAAACGCATTTACGCTAACGGAGAACATTTCGAGAAACAATAAATTCATTTCTGACCATTTATAGTATTTTTTCTTATTCATTCCGGAAACTTTTAGTACGTCTCACATACGTACTCAATTGTCGAGCACAGATTAACATGTTTTTTTTTAATTAGCTTAACTGTGTGTTACTGTATGTTAAATAAACAGTACATCGCAATACTTAATGGGTATACACACAAACCAAACAAATTTTATTCCGTGATTACCTATACAGGTTGATAAAAATGTACTTGTTATTTTTATCCCACGAATCAGATTCTTTTTGACAAAATAAAATGTATTGAACAGATTGATAGCAAAAATTTTATGATTCGTGCAGTTCCCACACTAGGCAAGCCTGCATGCAGTAGCGATGCGCGATTGTGAATGATTTCGATATTCGACTCGTTAGTCTCGACTCGACTCGACTCGTTAACTAATCCTGTCATTCGAATGTCAAATTAGTGTACTAATTTTCGTATTCGAATGATCATTAATTACTAATTAGTAGTACTAATCCATAGATTCCATAGAGCATTTCTGCTTGTGATCACCTAGCCCTCTCTGACATAATGGTAAATACTGTAAATGTGACGGGGACAAGGATATTTTTGGTATGGACATGATGAATGAGGTGTTCTGATATAATAATCAATCGACTCGTGCTCCGACCGAATGGCATTGGTATTCGGTATTGTTAATCATTTGACTCGAGTCAAATGATTGTGCTTGGATTCGACTTAGGCGAATGATTTGCCCATTCGAATGATTAGTATTAGTAACATTCAAAGTCGCGCATCGCTAATCGGGAGGTCCCAAACAACCGATTTATATACAATACTTAACTTCTAAAATGAACATAAATACATACATAAATAATATTTAAAACAGTAAAACTAAGACATATTGGGTTGGTATATTATATATTATAAAGCTACAAGTTCTTGCTCACTGATAGAAATAAAATGCATACTTCCCGATATGGTGGAAAAAAGATATTTACACCATTGTACGCGCATAGGCTCCAAGGCAAAGAATTAAATATGAGAAGACCTGAATGTGGAAAATGTAAACGTCCTGCAAAAACTATAGTACATGGGTGTACAATACATTTTTGTGCATTGTTATGGAGAATTTCCGCGGGAAGTAAAAAATGTTCGAAATTCAATTAAACAAAATGGCCGTTGGATGGTTAAAAAAAACAAGATGGGGAATTCAAAATGGCGGCCGAAGAAAAACTTGCTTCGATCCGGCTGAAAATTGGTTTGCGTGGTCAGTGAGTGGTCAAAAGTTTCTTTTCGCCATTTTTTAATATGGCTGTCATATAAGCGCTTTTTCGTCAAAAGTGGCTGCCGAAACGGACTTGCTCTGATTCGGCTGAAAATTGGCATGAGGAGGCCTGTAGAAGTGCCGGATAATAATTTGTGGTCGAAATTGGTTTTTCGCCATTTTCAAATATGGCCGCCATAGAAGCGTTAGTTGGCGGCAGAAAAAAAAATGCAGGGCATCCCTTTGAAAATTGGCATGTGTAGGTATGATTGATAATAATTTGTGATCAAAAATGGTTTTACGCCATATGGCCATAATTCAACAACTAATAAAAATTAGCTCTAATTCAACTGAAAATCGAGATGTGGGGATCTCTATAGACGTTTGATAATAATTTGCGGTCGAAATTAAATTTTCGCGTTTTTTCAATATGGCTGCCATACAAACTTTTTTGGCGCTAGATAAAAATTTCTTCTAATTCGACTGAAAATGACATGGCAATCACAATTTGGGGTAAAAGTTTTGTTTCTGCCGTTTTTCGATATAGCCGTAATTTTTTATGTAAATGGCTATTGAAAAAACTTGCTTTGCTCGGACTGAAAATTAGCATGAAAAGATTGCTTGATAAGATTGTTTGATAATAATTAGTGGTCAAAATATATTTTTGCAATTTTCAAATATGGCCGCCATTAAAGAGCTATTTCAATTTTTTAAAACAAAGCCATAAGTGCCGAGACCGGAGGCCGAGGTCCGCGGAGGGTGAAACCCGAAGCGTCCGCCCGCCTTCAAATGGAGATAATATACGGAGACGTAATAGATTACGAGTACAAGATCCCACAATTGTAAAAATGTAAAGCATGCTTCCCGATGTAGTGGAAATGAGATACTTATTACAGCGTTGTTGTATCTCAACCGTTTCTATGTTAGATTTTATTTTCTTGAAAGATATGCCAAAGAGAAGTATTTAGGGGGGGAAAATGCCAAACTACTGCCAAATTTCCTGTACTATGTAGGTACTATGAATACCAAATTAACGATAACCCAGAACACTCAAACCAAAACCAACTTAGAAATGTTAGTTTCTTAAATTGGCATACATCGGGAATCGACCTCCTCACCAAGCGCCCACCTCGTAAACTGAAACCGACCACGCCCCGCAGGCCGAGCCCGACCCCACCGAAGGTGGGTCGTTATTAACATTATTGTAACATCTACAAAAGTGATAACTAATTAATTATAAACGTTGTATTAATAGATTTAGACATCAATTTTTAATTACTATATTTTTTAAATGAAGCGACTTACAATATAATAAAGAAATGGACTATAGTAGAGTACGCGCATTTGTGTGTCTACATATGTGAAGGTGTATATGTGTGAATGTGTGTATGTCTATGGAAATATCTGACAAATTTCTGCAAGAGTTTTCTTTTTTTTTGATAGTTTTTAGTTTTCTTTAAGTTTCATTTATTTTTCTAGGGAAGCCAAACGACAAGGCTAAAATAATTCATTTCGTTGTCGTTTTCAATTAAAATACAAATTGATAGAACTCTTGCAAAAAATGTCAACCTACTAGCATATTAAAATAGGCTAGGTTCAATGTAAACATTGAAGAAAAGGAAGAGAAAATATGTTTTACAATTTACTTTAGTACAATTTAACAAGTAGTATTTCTCAATTTAAAATCTGTAATTTGCCAAGAGCCCGTGCATATGGACAAATTCATATATTAAAGGTGATAATTTACCTTTAATGCAACGTTTCATATGCTTAGGAGGTAGTTTTTTAGAGAATCGTTTTCCCTTGTCACTCTGTAATAAGTTTTTCGCCGAACAATATCACCAATATTAAAGTCATACTTTTTACGACGAAGATTATAAGGACCACAATTCTAGAAATTGAATGAATGCGACTTTATTAAAGAACTTTGTACATTATCGAAATTTTCTCTAAGTTTACCGGTATTTTCCGCATATTCGTTGCTAGACGCAAAAATCTTCGGATTGGTTGATATCAAGATTGTGGGAACCACACGATACCAATTCTCTTCAGACGTGATTACTAATAGCAATATTGAGAGCAAATTGATTTTTTTGGGATATTCAGATCCCAAAATCTGTGACTGTCACTTTTACAAATGTTATATATTTACAATATGTAATGTAAAACATGTAAATGGTTTCGTCATATCAATCGAATAGCCCGCGAAAGCGGGAACAAACCAATTTAAATGTTATTCGACACATAATAACAACTAAAATCGTCTGCACGACCTTCACTCTTATACCGATGAATTTTCAATCCTATTACTGATGAAATCAAAATTCGTAAGTTCTAAGTGCACTTATGCACACGAAAATAATATTTTTTATTTTACCGTTCAACGTCGGTAGGTAATTCACAAACTTACCTTCGACAATTAGCCATATAGCAATATTGATAATTTACGATGACGATTAAACAGCTCAGCCGCAAATTTTGTCAACGTCCTCTCGTCTCAACGGAGCGATTTTGTGAAACAAATATATGCTTGAAGTTCCAGTGACATACGACAGGAGATGTTATCTATTGCGCATTAAAAATGTCGTAAGTTCCAAATTCGTTTTAGCGGAATAACTCTAAAACTAAAGGGATTAAAAAAATCCGTAACGACAGTAGTCGATCATGCATAAATATAATTAATTATCTAATGTTTGTCCTAATAACCCGTAGCATTTCGAGAATAAATCGGAAAAATGTGAAAATTAGATGTGTTTTCGTCATTTTTATCTATCGAGAAAACTTTATTGTTTTATGTTGCTGATTAACGTCTGTGCTTGAATGTATCATGTAGTTACTTGTACAATATTTTATTTTTAACTTTAAAGTGGATTTACCCCTCTAAAATCAAATCGAAGATTAGGAATTTTTCCTCTGCTCCCTCTTAAGGGTGCTGGTGAAATTACAGGCACTTGGGACTTGTCAACTTATGTATTTAGGGCACGGGCGCAGTGGCAGCGTTCATAAGATCTTTGCGATTTAAAGCTCTGAATGGAACTGCAACTGCTATGCATAGGCGTGTCGCTTACCACCGCCTGATGGTAAGCGACTACCGCCTGGTAATACTGAATACGACTGTGTTGCTCAATGTTAGGGGCCAAAACATGAAAATCAGAGATATACCCTGCCTTCGCGGCATTTCACGTCCAATTATTATAAGACCTTGTTCATTAGAAAACTCGATTATTTAATAGGACTGCATTCTAAAGTAAAAAGTCGAAATTTTTGAGTTGATACCCTGTGCATACAAGGCAACGATTTATGTACTAACCGTCGATTGTGTAATAGATTGGTGACAGAGACTTTTATCCGAACGGAGGAAGAGGACAGCCTGGCTGTGCTCTCGCCACCTGCGACCACAGTCGAGCCTGGCTGTACTACGCAGAAGCTATCGCCGAGCCGCATAATTTCCCAGGTAAGTTGATTCATACCAACAAATAGTTAGTTATTTATCCAGGCACTATTTAAGTTTGCATACTCCTTCGTCGACTTTCCATCAGGCGAGATGGAAATCAAATGCGCACTTTTATTTAATAAAAAAGGCACGCTATATTGCATTTTTATAAAGTTATTTTAATCCACCAAAAAAAAAGAGGAGGTTTTCAATTCGACTGTATTTTTTTTGTATGTAACGTAACATGTGTCGCGTGACATACGCGATAACTTCGACATTTGTGAACCGATTTTAATGTTTTTTTTTTTTTTGTTGGCAATAGGGTATCTCAGTAGTGGTTCCATTTCAATGTGAAGATATTCCACTTCTAAGGGTGAGATTATTAAAATGAAAAATGATACCCTGAGACGGGACGAACAATTCGTGCGCCTGGTGGTAAGCGACACGCCTACCCATAACAGTCGCAATGCCAATCAGATCTTCCCAAATTGCAAAGAAGCCCACTGCGCCCGTCACTTGTACACATCTGTTCACAAATTACGGTTATCGCGTAACATACATAAAAAAGACAGTCGAATTAAGAACCTCCTCTTTTTGAAGTCGGTTTAAAAAAGTTTAATTCCTAATGTGTCATAATCGTGAAAACCTAGAACCTCTTAAATATTTGTTTCTATTAAATTATTACATTTTGTTCAGGTCGCAGATGTGACAGTTGGGAGAAATTCAAAGAAGGAGGGTGCTCACGTAACGCTGTGGCATACATGGGAATGAGTTTTGTAAGCCTGACGACTACAACGAATCAGACTATCATCCCTGGAACCTATTTCTTTAGAACGGCAAGAGACACACCTTTCGGTTTGGGTTTACAGGGTATAAAACCTTGATTCTATTTGAAATAGCTAAAGGTACAACAAAAGTGGTTCATAATTAATTTATATAAACATAGCTAATTTCAAAACTGTCGTTACGTTATACGAAACGGGAAATTACACGAACACCAGCCAATTTTGTGTCAAATTTCGAAATAAATTTGTTCAACAATGCATATTGTTTGCTATATCCAAACCTTGCTGTACAGTTTTTTCCTTGGCAAACGAAAACAATCCATTTCGCAAATTGTAAAAGTAAAAACAAGCACAAATGGAACCCGTTAAAAGTTCTTCTAAAGCGAAAAGTAGTAAATTTACGAAAGGTTATATTTTTGTTTAATTTCCATGCACGAGGTCGACGCTGCACAATAGCTTGGTAAATTTCGCAATGTTGGTAAACTCACAAAGTTTTATTACCTTTACAGGCTTCTGCCACGAAATAGGTTGAAAACAATGCTTTAAAAATGTTCAGCTTTTGAGAGGTACACACGGCGACTTTAGCAACGATGCAAATGCGATGGAGCCGCTAAGTCTACCTATAAACACGCACGCGATTTTAAGCAGCGATGTAAGCGCGCGACTGCATCGATACAAACGCGCGATTGCATCGCTATACTTGGGATGTATAGGCGATTATATCGATGCAACAGCGCGTTTGTATCGATGCAATCGCGCGTTTATATCCATGCAATCGCCTATAACTAGCAAGTGTAGCGATGCAATCGCGCGTTTCACGAACTGCTGAAAATCGCCGTGTAACCACAATGTCGTCTGTGTTTGCCGTATAACCACTTCTTCGTTTTTTTCTTTATGATATCAAGTGATGGGACGAACAAGTTGTCCGCAGATGCAGTGTCGCTCAGAGCTTTAAAATCCTGCGATTTAATCATAAATAAATAAAGATCTAAGGGGCACCTTCACTGCGCCCGTCACCCTGAGACGTAAGTTGAACAGTCCCATGTGCAAATCATGAGATGCCAGATGTTTGAAATTTCACCAGTACCCTATAAATCTAAAACCACATTACCGCTTGGCTGCAGATAAGTAATGTGTGAGTAGAGTAAGGTGGCAATACTTCCCTTGACGAACTCTTTCACAAGGAGCTCCACTGCTACTAAACATAATGCCTTAATAAAACCACAAAATGGAATCGTGAAGTCATACATGCCCGACAGAGTTGCGGTGGCACCTATTAGACGTCGACGCCACGTCGTCGTTACAGTTGTCCTAAATTGGTTGCTTTATACCATTAACCATTATATTCAAAGTTAATTAATATAAGACCAACGCGGCTTCCTATTGTTCACATAATTATAATGCAAGTTTTCCATGCCAAGTACTAACAACGAGGAAACACATGCAGCACTCAATAAAATGAAAGGATAAGCTACTAGTCTTAAACTCGGAACGACAGGAGGTGAGCTCGGGCACGTTGGCCGAGTGTATAGTAAGTGGGTCTTCAATCGTTGCAATAGACCGGCTTCCTTTAGTCGTAGGGCGCTAAAAATAGAAAATAATAATCTCAGTACAGAGTACTAAAAATACCGACCTCAAAAGTCATTCATCCCCTAGTTTGCCACCCTCATAACTGGAATATTTTCTTCAAATTTAAATGGGATCACTGTTGAAGTACCCTCTTTCCAACAAAAATCATCAAAATCGGTTCACAAATGCTAGAGTTATCGAGTAACATACATACATACACAAAAAAACATACAGTCGAATTGAGAACCTCCTCCTTTTTTGAAGTCGGTTAAAAATAGAACTTATTGTTACACTTTGCAAGTTATAATAAGTAATTGTAAATACACATTGTTACATACCCAACTTTAAACTGTTCTATATAAGGAAATTCCTTGGATGTAAAGAAATATTTTTTAATATCAGTGTACATATCTACATGTATTAAATCGCATATTTCTTCATCGTCAAAATCTGAAAACACCAAATACTCTTGATACGGTTGTGATAGTGAAAAATAACACTTGGTCACCACTTAAATAATACTTGGTGGCATGGTATCAATTAAATGGTAAAAATTAAGAACATATTATTATTGATACAAGCAACATATGATGGTATAACAAAGACAAAAGAACAGTCATGTCGAAAACGGTTTTTTTTATAATATCTAGTGATGGGACGAACAAGTCGTGCGCCTGATGGTAATATGTTACCATTTTATAAATCTTGCAAAAAGATTGAGGGGGAAAATAAAAGAGTTTTAGAGACGAGTCCATGAAGACTTAACTACAACATCTATCAAATGATCGATCTACAGATTACTCACTCTGGAAGAAATAAAACGTGTTACCCCCAGAGTACAAAGAGAAATAAAAATGAAAATTAATAAAAACAAATCTCCTGGATACGACCTTATTTCTGGTGAAATTCTACATAATCTGAAAGCAGCAGTAAAACTTGAAAAGCAGTAGTAAAACTGACTATACTAATAAATGCTGCCTTTAGATTAGAATACGTTCCTGAATTGTGGAAAGTTGCAGAAGTAATAATGATCCCGAAACCACGTAAACTGCCTCATGATGTCACGTCTTACAGGCCTGTCTCATTATTACCCATGATGTCAAAATTATTTGAAAAGCTTCTACTCAAAGACTGAAACCAATTCTATATGAAAATAAACTTATACCAGATCACCAATTCGGTTTTAGAGAAAGTCACTCCACTATTGTTCAAGTACACAGAATAACCAATACCATAGAACAGGCAATGGAGGAAAAGAAAGTTTGCTCCGCAATCTTTTTAGATGTTGCACAAGCTTTTGATAAATTTTGGCACGAAGGTCTAATTCATAAGTTAAGAAATATACATACTTCCATATCAACGTGCAAATCTTCTGGAATCCTATTTAACCAGTAGGTATTTCAGAATTAGACAAGAAGACACATATTCAGAGCTAAAAGAAATAAAAGCTGGAGTACCACAAGGAAGTGTCTTGAGCCCCATTCTTTACCTTTTATATACAAACGATATACCCGAACCAATTGACAATATCATTGCTACTTTCACGGGTGACACAGCAATTAAGGCTGTAGGAAACAACCACAAGGAAGCGGTCAGTAAAGTTCAAAAGTCATTAACCAATTCCATGAGTGGATCAAGAAGCGGCGAATAAAGCTAAATGAAACTAAATCAGTGCACGTTGACTTCAGTTACAAAAAAAATTACTACTGTCCATTGTACATTGGAAACAAACAGGTACCCTTCGCAAATACCGCCAAATATCTCGGTATGACCCTCGACGTGAAGCTACGCTGAACGAAAGCTCACATCAAGAAGAAAAAAGAAGAATTAGACATACGTTTAAAAAAATGTATTGGCTATTTGGCAAATGCTCTTCACTATCTGTATGCAATAAAATTATTATTTAATTATTGTATAAACAGGTCCTTATGCCAGTGTAGACCTATGGTATCCAGCTGTGCCGCTAAAAGCAACACACAGACAATACAACACTTCCAAAATAAAATACTGAGGACAATTGTGGATGTTCCTTGGTATATACGAAATGAGGATCTGCATCGTGGTTTGGATATAGAGCCTGTTAATAAAGTGATAATAAAGTACGCCAAAGCTCACAAACATAGACATCATCATCACGTGAACATAGAGGCTACACACCTACTAAACAATACAAATATAGTGCGTAGACTACAAAGAACTAAACCTTTTGAGTTAGTGTAGTTAATTATAGTGAATAAAATAAATATTAGTGCCAGTGTTAATTAGACTATGAACACACAAACAAAGTGTCTTCCCCGTAACTAATATTAAAAGATATTTTGTCGATGGACAATTTCTTTATATAAGGTTACTTATTTTAGGAAATTATGTTAAATTAAAATTGCTTATTAGTCTTATAAAATGGCTAGATTGTAATTAGTGATAAGGTTTTGTTTTGCTTTATAACAAAAAGAAAATGTAATGAATGTATAGTACTACTATTTCCTTATTGTATCTCGACAATCTTCGAATTTCCGAATCTACTTGAGTGCAACTTATCAGATTTATCATCTGTAATAATTCGAATTCAGAATTACATACTTCTTTACTTTGTTTTGATTTCCACGTGAACTAATTATAGCACAGAAGTTTAAGGAGTACTTAACAAAATATTAAAGCGAGATATTTTAAGGCGAGCCTACATTTTAACAGGTGAGGTGTGGGAGACCGTCCTGCGCGTCCCGCAATCCGCGTGTTGAAAATTAATATGAACAAAATAAGAGCAAGCGGAAAATATATTACACAGATCTGACATCGAGAAGCGCCCGATGGCGACTGACATGGCAGCGAGCAGCGCGGCGAATTGTTAAACCATTGGGCCATTAACAAATTTTTTGGGATAAATGTGAATTTAATAACTTTTGGGATTTCAGTTGAAAACCAAAATTCAGCAGGTTCTCTGTAGTAAAGTAAAAAAAAATATCTCCATACAAAAATTATGTGCAAAGTTAGACATTTTATTCTGAAATCATTCGTTTTAGACTTTTATTTTAGTCTGTTTCAGGATATTGTACGATATTATATGATCGGGTAAAGTACTTCCAATAGGAACAAATTAGCCATTGACTTACAAATAAATGGACGACGGGTCTAATACAAAAACCACGAAAAAAATGTCCCAAGTCAACCTATTCGAAATTTAAATTGTTATGTCATCGCAGTATCGCGCTGTCCGTAGAACAAATGAAGACTAAAGCGGAGTGTCGCGCTCTGTATACGATTTTAGCGCCTTACAAGTGCGGACACTTTTTAGCGCGGACCCGACGTCCATATAATTGGAAGTCAATGAAATTAGCACATTCTTTAGACAATATCCTTATTCGTATATTTTAAGTAAGACCGTTATTTGATAGTAAATACCTAAATCATTTTATCTAGCAACACAATTTTTCCCGCTTCTTCTCTGGTGAGCGAAGAGATGTATCTAGTAGCTAGCAGCTACTCCGTAGATACAGGGACGCCCTGTATACTAAAGTCTGTTCCAATCCATTTTCAACAAAAAGTAAACAAAACTATTTGGTTAAAATTCTAAAGTAATCACTCAATAAATAGAATAAGTAAAGTCACGTATATTTCGAATATTTCGACTTGATATCTCATAACTTTTTCCAACAATATTCATTTGAATAGCATCGTAAAATTGTATTTGGGAAATGGTAGTCCAAAAGTGAGGTTATTTTTCATCTATACATATATGACTTGTCTATGGTTGCATAGTGCTGTCCGAAAGAAAAAAAACATTCGGTTCATTTAATTAAAGTTTTTGTAATCGATTAGTAAATCGAATATTTCAATCGCACTCGGACGTTTAAGGATTTGAAGGAGGACTTAAAATTAAGATTTCGGATATTTTAAATATATGCTAGGTTATGTAGGGAAATCCGCTACTATAACTCAACTGAACAAATGTATTCATTCAATTAATTAATCGATTTGTAGTTGGCATTACAATTGGCCATCACTAAACCGTCTATCCGTCGGGTCAGTGACTTGTTAGTTTACATTTTGTTGAAAATGGATTGAAACGAAGTATACAAACTCGATTGAGAGCGTCCAGTCTGCACTAAATGCAAATGGGCAACTAATACTGATACATGACAGCCGAAACACCAAGTTTGTCGAGAGATATTAAGAACATAGTTTTCATCAACGTGTGAAATTGACAATTCGCATATGGCAGCGACAGCGTATTGAATTATGTCCTTTTTTAGAGAAACCCTCGTAGTTTATGGACTACGAGAGTATCTCTAAAGAAAGGCCATATCGAGACTATAATCGATATACTTATTTATATCTCTGCTGACGGGATATACACGGTTCGTCTTTGACTAATGATATGGAAATATAAGTGTAATTTAAGTTAATAATTTTAAGATTTTTTTTATAATACAAAGTTACGGGACTGTCAAGTCTTGCGCCTGGTGGTAAGCGACACGCCTGTTCATAGTAATTGCAGTGCCACTCAGAGCTTTAAATTGCAAAGATCTGAGGGACACTGCCACTGCGCTCCTCACATAAGTTGACAAGTCTCACGTGCCTGTAATTTCATCACCCATAGTCATCAAAACCGGAACGCAGTAATGCTCAAATTACTGCTTGGCGTTAGAAATAGGTGAGGTGGCAGTAATTCCAACCGAACTATTTCACAAAGAGCTCTACTGCTACGGAATCCGAAATAAGACAAAACATCTCTCAATGCGACTAAACAATCTGTTACTTACATCTACGAATAAATGGATATAATGTGATGTAATCTGAGAAAACGGCGAATCTGCCCGACATAATAGCTCCTAAAGCTGTGAGTATGTCCATTTTCACGGCCTCGGTAAACCGGCTTTGTAGCTTTTCTTCAAAATATGTATTATGTTTTGCAACTAACTGTAACAAAAGTCTTTATTTTATTATTATTTATTTTATTTTATTTTATTTAAAACGAAAAATATCGTATATTACAGTTTTTATTACATGTACAATAATATATATTAGGTTGCAATCGTACACCCATAGTGCATTATTAGTGATCTGCTATTATCAGTATTACATTGACAGGTTTCAGTTAATAGTCTACTGAAGCCGGACAATCAGTTCTACAAAAATCCAATTATAATAGCACACACCTTTCTAGATGATATCGAATACTCTACTAAAAACTTTAACTCTAGGTACAAATGTAAATCAGGCGTAAAGATACAACATTTAATATAGAACTTATGTTATCATTTTTGGTCAATTTTGTACCAAGAAAGGTTCGTATATTTATTTGGTAGAACTAATGAGGGACGGTGAACAAATCATCAACATTTTTTAATTATTTTTCACGTGAAACACTTTTTATTTCTGAACAAAATGGGAGACGCTAGTTCAATTTTTAAATCTGGCGGCCATCTATATTCGCCATCATTGACCGCCACGTTTCGGGTGGGAAGGTTATTTCATTATCATAATTTAAAATGGTATTCAAGAGCGTGGTAGCTTCTGTGGTTATTTCGTATTTTTGTGTTATTTATAAGCATGTAATAAAACATAACCGTAATAAAATGCACGAAAACTTTTATTACAAAATATTAAGAATTTATTTGTTCATAATCGAATTTTACCATTCAAGAGCACTACATCTGTTCATCGTCTTTACAAAGCCAAACTTTAACTTAATTTATGTTTGTTGAGCTACTGTTTGTTAGCTGTATCTTTGAGTGCTCGTTCGTGCCTGGATTGCATTTTTCTTAGACATGGCATCGAAACGAGACTACAAAGAAGTAGGTCACTAAAAGCGTTTGTAGATGTACCAGTTTTTTTATTAAACTATTTGGGATTTTAAGTACGTAATTGAAAATTTGAAAATCAACTTTCATTCATCATCATTCATGTTATCCGTTATGCTGTATGTTGAGTTACAGATTAATCCCTAACACGCCTGCAAAGGCTTACATAAAGAGCAATGTACAATTTTTCTTAGCCTTATTTTATAATTGATTATTTTGTGTACAGTCTTGCTTAAAGCAAATAAACATTTATTTATTATTAACATAAATTTATTATTTATTTATTCAAACAGTGTCTACTTTATCTAGATTGATAATGTCTTCACTAAAAAGGAAGTAAATTAATTTTGCTATTCCACAAAGCTAGTGAAGGTTAAATCGTGCAAAATATTTTGCCTCTCTTTCATACACATGTATATTGAAGTTTCTGTCTATTATATATATATATATATATATATATACACACACATGTATATTATGCCTGTGTTGAATAATTTTTCATGGAGTTATTTTTAAAAAATCGACACATGAGCGCCTTTCCATAATCAGAGGATTAAACGTAGGCTGGAATTCCACCACTATTCCACCACTATGTTGTGGATACTAAAAAGATTCTCACGAAGCGTTACGTTTCCACGTTAATATAGCGAACGGCTATGGAGTGGAATTCCTCGCCTGCAGGCTTATTCCCTAAACGCTATAACTTGGACCTTTTCAAACCGAGAGTGAAAAGGCATTATTTAGGAATACACACTCTATCGTGGACCCCATCATCACTTTCCATCAGGTGAGATGGAGGTCAAATGCAATCTTATTTTATTATAAACAAAAAAACTCTTCAATTACTTACTGCAGAATCCTCATCGAATGACATATTGTCAAGCACAGCCAACTCATAATGTCTCTCGACTAGAACCACCAGTGCCTTATCGCTGTCTCTGTCCTTCACCAGACAAGAGAGCAGGTTAGAAGTATAATAACAATGGACGAGATAGCCGAAGGTGATGAAGATGGTATACGCCATTCGACGAGACCAGAGCTTTGCTTTAATGTGTGGTACTGAAAAGTGAAAATACTATTAAACAAATTCAGGGATGGAAAATGAGAAGTTTGCCTGTTTGTGCTGCCATGAAATATAAATTTCACTATTTAATAATAAAAATAAAATAAAATAATAAGGCCACATCTGCAAAACAAAACTTTAAAGGAGAGAAGTTTAAAGATTAAATAGGAGAGTTATAAAACTCACATACATCCTGAATAATCTTTATTTCATAGGTAATCAATTTACACTTGAAATCGTCATACTGATTAACTCTAGGGCTCATTCGTAAGGCGGATTCCCCTGAGAAGAATGAGTAGGAAACTCTGGGGGTTGCTCTGTGTAAATATATATTTGAATTCCTTTTTCATTAGAATATTTAATGTAAACATCTTAGATCGAGAATAATAGAATACCTGAAAGCGCTAGACGCGTCACTACCACGGATTTTTATCATCCAAGTACGCAGAAGATGTATAATAAACCTTTAGTACAAAGTTTTTGTTTCACTACACTTTTAAACCTTGTGAATGGCAAATTTTTAAATATCAATAGGAATCTTATTATAGAAGCGTGTACATTGGCCCTTAAATAAATTTGAGACTTTATGAAGAGGACTATCAAGAACAGCTAGTTTATGTTTATTCCTCGTATGTTATGGCAGTCATTACTTTTCATAAAGAAATTAATATTTTTCTTAACATAAATAACATTTTCACAAATGTGACGTTAGTGTAAGAATGTTAATTTCTTTAAATTTATCTCTCAAAGACACTCTGGGGCCCAGATTGTAAATTGGTTATTATAAGTCATAAAGACTTTCGTGATAGAATCACAGTTGAAGTATGATGACAGCAGTGGCCCGTTACTGCCGCCTGGGGCTAACCTTAAGTTTCCTGCCCCTCTATTCTCACGATTATAAAAGTAGTTCATTTCGGCAGGCTCGGCGCGATTGTGTTTTTATATTCGCCTGCCGTCGCCAACTTTGTGTTATCTCCCCCACTGCACCCGCCATGCTACGTCATTGGATCACATGTGACTGTATTATACCAAAAGTATTTAAATCGTTACTCAAAAATTCGGCTGATTTTGTAACCAAATAGTCCACAGTCCAGAGCATCCCTTTTTTATATTTATAGCTACCGAGGCTCCTACCCTAGGACTCTTCAACGCCCACTGGAGGAGCGGTATCTCTTCAGATCATAGTTTCCCAAAGTGGTCCCACTTTGGGAAACTATGATCTGAAGTTTAAATCTCAAGGCGCGTACCACGAAAACCTGATCAACAGCATTTTTTAAACACAAGCACAAATAAACTTACCACGTTGACAGTACGCTCCAATGGCAAGCAGGAGTTCATAGAAAAAAGAACACTCTCTATTCGTATTTTGGGGAACGATCCTCCTTTCCAGGCCATTCAGTAGGTAGAACAATATGGAAATAAACAAACAGATGGCATAGAGAACGTTCCATACAGATCTTTGGAAAGGCAAGCTGTAGTAGCGGATGTTCGTTATATCATGATGTTGTCGGAGAATGAAACCGTAGCTGCAAACGAATACATAATAATAATAACCGTTATATAGTCCGCTGCTGCTGGCCACAAGCCTCCCAGAAGAAAGAAGGAAGGAGAAGATTTGGGTTGTAATTGTACAGTAAAATTTTTTTTTATAATACGTAGTGACGGTACGAACAAGTCGTGCACCTAGTGATAAGCGACACGCCTATCCATAACAGTTGCAGTGCCACTCAGAGCTTTAAATCGCAAAGATCTGAGGGGCACTGCCATTGCGCCCATACCGGAACGCAGTTATTCTCACATAACTGTTTGGCGGCAGAAATAAGTAAGGTGGCAGTACTTCCCTGGACGAAGTCTTTCACATGGAGCTGTACTGCTACTATTTCAATATTTAAGAAGTTTATTGCAGCATCAGACCAGGGTGACCATATTATAGTTATTTCATCGGATTCCAATATATACTAAATTTAAAGTCAATCGATGAGATCCCTACACTGATGGGCAATAATGCTGAATTATCTATAAAGAACAGAAGAACTAAAATATCCACCAAACACAGCTAAAAACCATCCTTATTAAATCAGCCGTTTGGGAGCTATGATACCACCGACAAATAGATACACAGACAAAGGCTTCACAGTTATAACTCCCCTCTGTTTGCGGCGGAGATTAAAAACGGTAAAGCCTCTATCGAACATGAATTGTTATCTGTGCTTTTAGCACGAGTTTACTAATTTTGTATGGCAAATTATACACCGGCCCTAGCGGCTACGAGCAGAAGTAACATTTTGTATACAAATATTTTACGCTGTTGATAGCGAGAACTGTCTCTGTAATCTCATGGTAGAAGCACTGATGTGCCACGTTATTCGACAGCGATGTCATGCTTATCTTAGTCACTGTGTATTTTGTAAACATCCAATATTACGTCGTTGTGACAAGATTTCTAGTGATATTAATATCACATCTCAGTCGTGACAGAGTAAGACGGTTATCTTAACATTTACATTGAAAATAATGAAAGGCGGATACACAAGCGCGATGCGTCGGTGCCGCCGCTATCACCGCTGTCTTACCTATTTACCTCACACATTTCGTAAGCCTAAGTAATATTTTATGTACTTTAACTGAATACTTTTTCTTACAAATAAAACCCTTACCGTCGGTTTAAAATGGGAAAAATTGGATGCGAGTTCTCCAGAATTTGTAATGAAAGCAAGCGAGGTACGATGAAAACGTCTGCTTCATAGTTCGTAGAGCCATTAAGTGTTTTCAAGTTAACGTAAGTTACGCTGAAAATATAATTTAACATTATAATATCATTTCTTTTCAGTGCTGTCGTTACTTTTTTTACAATACCAAGTGGCGGGACGAACAAGTCCTGCGACTTGTGATAAGCGATACACCTGTCCAACACCGAGAGACCGCTTCAATTCTATAAATTCAACGTCAGTGCACCGCGAGTACACGGCTAGCGGTGGGCGTTCACACACATAAACCACGCTGCTACTTTTGTATTGAGTTACCATAATCAACTTATTATACTGTGCTCAAGATTGTTCGCTGTGAACGCAGAACGAGAATGTCCCGAGTTCGATTCCAGGTAGCGTCAATTTGGAAAATGACCTGAATAGGTTGTTTTGGGTATTTTGGGTAGCGTTCCGGAGTGGATTCCGTTGCAGCTCTAGTGTGCATAGTACAAAGAATTTCCTAGTTTGAGAAGGTGATTGAATTAGCTGTTTGGCACATCATTATTATTGTTACCGATATCTATTTTAGACTATCGCCTCTCTCATGGCCTACAAGATTAATTTTAAAATTTCAAATAGGAGAGGCAGTATTATTATTATTTTGGACATCTATTATCTATTTTTCGGAGTCAAGTTTGTACTTCTCTTACCGCCCGTGTTACATACAATTGTTTTGATCACTTTTGCGAAGAAATAAATACAGGTAAAATAAATATCGCTTGACAACCAACGATATCTATGTACTACACAACAATTAAGCATTTTGCATATGGCGAGTTATTGGTTTTTTTTTTCTTACAAACAGGTGGTCAGCTATTCTTCCATAGATAATACAACTCAAATTAAAATGTTGTAGAAGGCAAAAACGTATACAGCCATGATGACATATAAAATAAATCATTTCAAAATACTAAAAATACTGCAGAATTCAAATTTGTAAATAAATTTAGTAAAATATAAATGTTAAATTTTTTTCTATACTTCTTCTAGCTTATGCAGATTACATTCACATTTTTCGAGCATAAAAACTTTTTGCCTAATCTTGACGTTGAGAAGTACAGTGCAATTAAATTAAAAAATAAATCCATTACTGCCATAAAACGGTAATGTAATGAAAAAACCCGTGGGCGTAATTTTAAACATTACGTTCGACGTTGCCTGTATGTTACGACACTCTTTACGAGCTGTTCTTGGAATACATGTGTGGTCACCCAATTTGAAGTTTAGTATAAACACGTAAAAACAAAAAGGAAATTACTCACTTCAACTCGTACATATACAACAGCAAGCTGAATGTTCTACAGCCCATGTAATTAATCCTCATCAAAGGATCAGCTCTGGCCAACATATCATATGGTGTAAATTTACTACAGTCCATTGCTGTTGCTACCTTAAATGTGTCGTTCATTTTATATTCACCGTTTGTTGCACTGTAACACAAAACTCGTACGATTGTAATTAAATATTGGCCTACATCATATACGTTGCTCTGATCCCAAAGTAACTTAAGTACTTGTGTTATGGAAATCGGAAACAAAAGCGGTACCACAAACACTCAGACCCGAGACAATGTAGGAAAGTTAGTTCTACATTGACCCAGCCAGGGATCGAACCCGGGACCTCAGCAGTGGCACCATGAAAACCAGTGTACAAGCCGTAATTAGGATTAAACACCATAATTAGGTACCTACATTAAAGCAAGGAATAACTCAAAGAAATACAATATTCCGTGGCCGAGTGGCTTGCACACCGGTTTTCGATCCCCAGCCGGGTGAATGTACAAATCTAACTTTATAATATATATTTTTTTGTTTTTATTTATATTCAGGTTACAAAGATCCATAAATACATACTATATAGACTAATATACTTAATGACATAATAAAACAATAGTGACTAATTATTATTTGCACGTATTGTCTGCGAGGCATGACTCAACGTGGATGTCCGGTAGCCGGCCTCGGAAACTTCGGTATATGATACCCGACGCCAAAACTCATCCTTCATGAAGGCCGACCGATGTTGAGTTGGTACTCTCACCACAAATTAATTTAAATTCACATTGTGCCGAGACCCCAACTGCTCAACCATCAGGTAGCTGTGGCTTTCACTCGTGTATACTTCACAATATCCGCAGCCTTTGTGAAGTAATGAAATGAAGTGACACGTATGACAACGTCGTCGGTATCGCTGGACGCAGTAAATGATTACGGCCAGTCAGGGCGGTGCCACTTAAGGTTACGGCTGGTACCTATACTTCTTTATCCGTTCCACCTTTTTAAAACAATGTATAGCTTAGAAAAGTGTAATGGATTTTGTTTTGTAAACAATTATATAATTAATGTTTCGCCTTGCACTGTATAAAATATTTAAAAAACCCACAGATAAAATATTCAGAATTCATTATACTTTTGGTATAATTCTTAGTACCTTTTACCTGGGTACCTTTTTCAATTAAATCAATATCACAATTTAGAACTTTTAGTGCTCATGAAATGGGTGTCACGTGTGAAGTAGTGAAAATATTCGAAGCTCGTAAAAGCAACTTGTGAAGAGACGTCAAGTTCGTGAAATGCTTGGACCGCTTGTGCGTGTCATAATGGCCAAACGTTGCTTTATATATATAACATTGTTATTATTAGGTACATACAGGCTGAATTTTTGGCAAGTCTCCAATTAACTGTGTTGGACAGTTTAATTATGTGGACAACGAAACACATAACAATCAAACTAAAATGTTTAACATAGGATATGAAACTATTTTTCCGGATTTAAATCGCGTATATTTGTTTTTTCAAACAAACCGACATTTCGGGCCCTTTACAGGTCCCATGGTCACGGTTGACTGAGGTGGTACAGTCTTCAACCAGTTATGTCTAATATTAATGCAAACTACCCTATTTTTTCACTATAGTTACAATAGTTATTAATTAAATACCTTATTTTTAATTTTACAAAGAAAACATTCCAATTTACGCTACATTAAGTTTCTCAGTTCCTGAGACCCGTGAAATGTAACATCCCCTTACAGGATGCAAGAGTTTACAAGCTTGACTGTGAGTGCGGTCTCTCTTATATTGGACAAACAAAGCGAAGTATTTGTAAGAACATATAGCTGATGTCAAACACCGTCGCGTAAACAAGTCTGCAGTCTGCGAGCATGTCATGGATAAACCTACACATTCAAAGAAGTTTGACAAACCCCAGATCCTTGCAAAAGAAGTCCGTTATCTGCCCAGGATGATGCGAGAGGCCATTGAAATTAAAAAAAACATCCTAATTTCAACAGGGAAGATGGTATCTCCGTACCACCAGTTTGGGATCCAGTATTTCCTCTAATGAAAAATCCCAAACAGACATAAGACTGCAGTACTAATTAATATGTTTTAGTTTATTCTAATTTCTATTAATAATTAATAATAAATTAAACTTAATAAAAATTCATTCAATAAAATAATTTGTAAAACTTAATGTAGCGTAAATTGGAATGTTTTCTTTGTAAAATTAAAAATAAGGTATTTCATTAATAACTATTGTAACTATAGTAAAATAATAGGGTGGTTTGCATTAGTATTAGACATAACTGGTTGAAGACTGGTCCACCTCAGTCAACCGTGACCATGGGACCTGTAAAGGGCCCGACACGTCGGTTTGTTTGAAAAAACAAATATACGCGATTTAAATCCGGAAAAATAGTTTCATTTCCTATGTGTAACAATCGCGAAAACCTAAGAACTCGATAAAATGTTTAATATGATATTATAAAGTTCTGTACCAAATTGTAATCCTACTTATGTTGACATATCGTTGTAAAATAACAAGAATGATCAGCATACATACTGTTCATAATTTGTTACTAATTTACTTATTTACTTAATAGATAACACAAAAGTGACAAGAGAGTGGGTGAATAACACGTAAGAAAAAAAAACAATAGAAGGGCCTTACGCCTCGATTACTATCACAACCTCCGTCGCCAAAACTCACACTATCATGACGTGAAACACTATGAAATCTTGATAATGATTGGTCGTAGTTTTTAATTTAAAAAGATAACAAATCCTGGAATATTAATATCATTTAAATTGTACCATGTTGGCATATGGCGTTGAAAGTTGAATATAGTAGAATGTATTACTACCAGTTATGACGCTTTGATGTTACATTGAAATTACTTTCAATGTGCTGCCTTCCAGCGGCAACAGCTGAAAGACGACGAACGATTAACGTCCATTAACGTTCTCCAAAAAACATTCGATCGTTTTGCAGCGGTATAAGGTTTACTTTCATTCTTGTAACAGAAAATCTATTACGATAAACAGAAATGGAAAATTTATTAAAATCAAATAAAATAAAACTTAACGATGATGTAAAACAGCACCATAGATAATATTATAGGTTGGACTATCATTTTTGCACTCCAAAGTAGCAAATTAAGGCATTTTTTCCACGGTGTTCGAGGTTCTGCGCGAGATAATTAACACGACGCGACGGTGGGAGTGCCCCATAGATCTTTTTAATTGCAACTTTTGCTCTAAGTGACGTTGCAACTGGTATGGACAGGCGTGTCGCTTACCACCTTGTTCATCCCGTCACTTAGTCTCATAAAAAAAAAAGAATTCTGGATCTTATATCAAATATATCCAAATGAAAAACTCCGTCTCATATACCTATATCTCGACAGTAAGCACATCTCGACAGTTATAAAAGGAAGAATTAGTTGTAATTTATAAGACATGCTGTCTTTATAAAATCTTTTGCTCTATTCGCCCAGCATTTATGTCCTACAAATACCGGAAACGAGGAGCCGATGAGATAAAAAAAAACACTATAATATACTACTTACTACTAATTTTGACTAAGTAACGAAAAATTGTAGATTATATTGGGAGAACGTACTTATAACTTGTATAATATGCATAAGATTGACAACTATGGTTTCTGGAGTTTGGGAAACATTGACTATATAACTCTGCACAGCTTCAACTGAAATTAGAGTCAACATCCGTGTCAAAACAAATCTGCACAATATACTCTGCGATCAGAGTCACATTAAGGTTGCACAGCCAATTCCGAGACCAGAAACAAACAGAGACAACTAATCTGTGTAGTCTGCAGAACGTACACAGATCAGATTCAAACTAAGTTTAAACAGCCTACACATTAATCAAGTTCCCCGCCATACTGTAGAGAACTAAAAATAACTGAATCAGTTTAACAAAGATTTTCTTTCCAAAGATTTTATTAGTTTTAGTTTGTATGTTTAACTGTAAGTATTTCTGTATTTGTGTTTATAAATAAATGGTTACAATTACTATAAAATCAAAATCATCTTTTTTAAACGTACGATGTAGATCTCCGCTGAAACAATAAAACAAATTGAATAAAAAAAGAAAAAACAAGCATAACAAGAAGAAAAAAATAATTTTATCCACTAATCACTGTGTATTACAGTTTACGTATTAAAAAGGAAAATGTACTGCCTTGATATTCAACAACATAATATGTAAAAAAAAACAAACATGTTATTATTCGTCGAAACGAAAGCAGCTTTACATGGAACTGTTGTTCTAGCCCCGTGTACAAAATAATTATACGCAAACTAATTACGAAAAAGGCTTTGAATATTTTAAATTTAACCCTGTGTGAGTAAGCCTCAATATTCTGTTACTTATTGATATCAAAAGATTTCTAAGAAAATGTTCAATTGCATAACCATAGTTTATATCATGTATCCTATGAATTGTCTATCAAGTTTGAAATGTAGCTGTCTCACCCAACCAGTGGTTACACGTTAGTTTATTTGCCTGTCTGAATTTGGCTTGTAAAACTAAACCATAAACTTACTTTGGCTCAGCGATCCAAATATCTGCGGGCCTCCGAGATGATGCCACTTTCTTCGGTTCTGTGCAATCTCTCGCCAAATGAAAGCTTGTAATTCGCGCAGGTCCGCCTACACGGCGTCGCACATACCCTCAACCATAAAATCTTTGATATTTGTAAATTGCTAATTAATATTTAGGTTATTTAGAATAATATGTAGGACACTGTGTCCCTTAATTCAGTGTTCATATCGGCATTTCATATCACTAACCACTTACCTTATAAGTTACTCTTTTGTTTAATGGAGTCATGGTGACACACGAAGAGGTTATCTTTAGCATACTACACGCTTTACCCCACACTGCGCACAGTAGGCCCGAACTGATTATTCGTGATCCTAGTAACAATCTGTGAAATACGGATCTTTTTTATGAATAATAATCATATTCATGACAGTTTTATTCTTACGTAATCTCTTAAAAACTTCATAGTTTCAGAAAGAGAAAAAATTGTTTGGCTTTTTTGTATGGAGAAATAGTATGCATTTTACATAATATTATACATTTTAACATTGACTTACAATTA